CCAGGAAGACCAAAGGGAAGTCTCCTAAGTTGTCTTCTCCATGGGAAGGCCCATATGACATAGTGGATCATCTCTCAGATGTAACTTTCCGGATAAAATGTGGTCAGTGAGGTAAGCCAAAGGTTGTGCATGCCAGGCTTTGGCGTTATCATGGTCCAGGACATTTCAATTGTGATGAAGTGAACAATAGAACAAATGATGCTGCTGAAGACGTGTCACTTGAAAAAGCCACTGTCGAAGAAGAAACTCTACTCAGTTTTGAGAAGGGAAACAGTGAAGCCCTTGATGAAGTTACTACCACTGATGTGACTATTACCAATGATAGGACGTTTCCCGATGAAGCAGATGAACCCCACATGAAGCAGAAGCCAACGAGACGGAGACCAGTATGGAAGAAGATACGTCCCGTAAAATTAAGAGACTTTGTTGAATTTTAATTTTGTGTTTATAAATTATGTACATTTAATTAAGTTATTGTTAATTGTTTATTGGTTTAATGTAAGTGGCTATTGTTCGGTACGAACAATACTAAGGAAGGGGCAGTGTTACGACAGCGGGGGTCACGTGACGCTAGTAACACGTCATATTCTCGAACGTTCAAGTCCCTTCCTGAAGTCTCGAGAGGCTACTAGATATGCGGTAGTCTAGTATATATAAGTCGCCAAGAAGTGACGGCAACAATGTGTAATTGACAGTTGAGTCGAGCAAGTGAGACGTTCGTTGTGAATTATAGCGTTTGTTATAGTGCGACTGCGGAAATTCAGTGTATTGCAAAGTTGTATTCAGAAAGAATAAATCAGTTTTATTTAAGAAAGGACTTGTATAGCTATAGTTTCTTTGGAAAGAATTTTTAAGGAAAATTAACTAACGACCGGAGGCGTAACAATATGTTAATTACATTTACCAGACAATTGTATTAAATGTGTCAAAACGATTTTAATTTTAACTAACAAACAAAAAATAACCAGAAGGAACTAAGCTGCCACTTAGCAGCACCTGCTGTTACAATGATTTTTTCAGGATATTTGAATCTAATAACGAATTTACTGCAATTTCGATAACACACTCCTAGCTGGAAATATGGAGGTGCGCTCAGCGGCACCACTTCTCAGAGAATCAATCCATAGCCCGACACTCTAAGCACTCTTTTCCTTTTAATTTTGTTTGTGTGTTCTAAATATGTCACGTGAAGCTAGGGTTGTAATTCGTTTTTATGTTCCCGGTTAAGAAAGCAGTTCAATAAATGTTCATTTTAATGTTTAAAGATATTTTCTTTCATCATCATTCTTTTTTTTTTTTTAAGAATGAGAATAAGGTGTTTAGAATCAATATTAATTGTTACGTGACTAAGAATTAAGCTATATGACAAACGATCATCATTGTTAAATGAACCGTTAATGAACTTCAGTTTTTTTATTATTATTATTTTTTGTTTTGATTGTTCAAAAACATTTTATAAGTACATAATTTTAAGATAAGCGTGTATTTATGTTTTACTGTGTCTTGAATGCGACCCACCCAATACTTCTTGCGGCTCATCAGTTTGTCGTGACCCACAGTTTAGAAACTGCTGTTTAATGACCTGTAGTTGTGTGCCTTATATTAATTAAGTCCCCCGGTGGTACAGCGGTAAGTCTTCGGATTTATAACACTAAAATCATGGGTTCGACAGAGCAGATAGCCCGACGTGGCTTTACTATAAGAAAACACTATTCACATATTAATTCAGCTTGTCGCTTTATAGGTATGTATTTTTGTCCAGCTAACTCCTCCCACAGTTTTGAAGCTAGCAGCACCAAATTTGGCAGGCAGACTCGAAGTGGCTGGTGGTGTCTTTATTTATATGGCGTAGCCACCCTATTAAAGGGGAAATACAATGCGCCCAAAAAGTTGCCCAACATGATGGGGTCTAAGGGTAGGTTTTCAAAGTCACTAAATCCGAATGCAGCATCGGTAAGTTTGTGCTCTTGTCTCTCCCCATCGGGATTGCGGGGAAGGGTAAGTTTGAAATTGCATTCGGGAACAGACTTGGCACACGTGCTCAGGTGACATGGGCAGATGTCCTAACGGAGTTTTTTTTTTTTTTTAGTCTCCGAATCCAACTTGGGGTAGCTACAGAATAACTGGGAATAATGCAGGAGCTTTATCGATATGTTTAGGCCTCTGTGAATTATGATAGGGCTCTTGAACCATTCAGTGGAGCGTGATTATTTTATCCCACTATCTCTAAATAAGTAAACAAATAATTTCCGCATATCAATCATATGTATTTTTAGTAAAAGAAAAAAGTAATTATTGTTTATATGTAATTTATTGTAGTTTGTTTTTCAAAAAGATGAAGTGCAGACTGAAGTAATTATGAAACGACTGACAGTTTCTTTATTCTTTACTCAACGTCTCAAATTTTAGCTCCTATCTATATACCGTGAGTGTACGTCAAAGAAGATGTCGAGATGTAGAGTAAAAAATAAACAACAACAATTTTTGTGAGGTTATAGGCGTTTTATCATTGTATGGTATTTTATTGTTGTAAGCTATATTTTTAATGTTGTAATTTATTTGTTGGCTAGAGAGCGCTACGAGTTTTTAATGATTTCATGTGACGTTAGTTTCAAGTTAGCCCTAGAAATGTCTAGAACAAAGACAGATTTAGAATATACCACGTTCCGAGAAGTATCACGTATGTTGAGATAAAGGCAGAACAAGGCAGAAAATTTAATGAAGGGCAAGAGGAAACTTAGAGGAAAATTAAAAGATCAAGAAGAAATTTGCAGAAAATTAAAATAATTGGTTTGTATGAATTTCACATAAAGCTACACGAGGGCTATCTGCGCTAGCTGTCCCTAATTTAACAGTGAAATACTAGAGGGAAGGCAGCTAGTTATCACCACCTGCTGCCAACTCTTAGGACACTGACAACGTCAGAAGTGAAGTAAAAAAGTCATCAAGAAAGTAGAAAACAACATCATTAAAGTAGAGAATAACATCAGTAACAGAATAAGACATATGGAAAATTATTAAATTCAAAGATTAAACCAGCCATGTCTATGAGCATGAGATTTAAAATTCCAACCACCAAACACCATCTTCTTCTAAGTATGGAATAAGAAAAAATTTTTGGTTGACACTTATTATCACCTGTTACTGAAGGATCTTCCTCTATTACTCCAGGCATGACACTACCAAATCCAGTTCCAGAATGTAGCTGGCCAGTTCAACATCAGCCAATGGACAAATCAGTAGACAATGATAGGAAGATACTATGGGAGTTATACCAGGTTCAATTCAAAATAACTTGAAGACTGAACTGGTGGAATAGTAAACAACAAGCTGTCCATCTTGTTGCCCATATAAAGGGACTAGCTTTAACAACATTAATAACATTCTAGCTAAGAGCTGAAACAACCACCAAGCATTGGTAGTTGCTTTGTCCAACAGGTTTGGAGTGTTACACCAGAAAGAAATATTGAGAATTACACTGAAGCAGAATAAGTGTACATCTTTAAAGGAAGATCTGCAGTTGACAATAGGACCAGAGTCCATTAAGGTCGCAGATAAACTAGTAAAGGCATCATGTAGAAGTTACAGTGATATTAGATCCTGCAATATCAAAGCATTAGCTCTCTCCTGAAAATAACTTATAAGAACTGAAGGAATTAGTTGGACAACTAGCCACACAAGATGGAGAAAGTAAACTATAATATAATAGCTGTTTCAAGTGTAACTTGAAAGAGCATGTTACCAGTAACTGCAACAGAAAACCCCAGTATGGAAAAAAGAATGCCCCATAAAGGATACCAGAAAGAGCAAACTTTGGAAAATTTAGCCATTATGATTGAGATTGTAAGTAATCAATAGCTGT